TAGGCTATTAATAATTAATCCCGATTAGTAATGTCCGTTTATAAAATAAACGGTTCAGAAACTAATTATCAATTGGACTCGGTTAATAATTAACCGGATAAACTTTTCGACTTAACGTCGAACGTATTCGCTGAAAATGAACGGAATCAATAAAAGATAATACATCATTCTTATTAACAACGAGTTGGGTTATTACACATGTCCCGGAGCCGCGGGGTGCCCCGGCGACCGTGGGCGCACCTAGTGCGAACGCGAGGCCGACGGGCACCTTTAGGCCACCGGCAATCGAGGTGAAGAGGTTGACGGAGGAGGAGATGGCGCGGAGACGTGAGAAGGGGCTGTGTTTCCGGTGCGAAGAAAAGTACACGCCGGGACATCGGTGCAAGCAGAATTACTTGATCGAGTTCGTGGACTCGGATGACGAAGAGCCGGTGATTGAGGAAGAAAGGGAGGTCGAGGTGCTCAATGACGAGGCTGAGATCTTAGTCCATGCGATGGCGGGCACTAAAGGCCCGAGGACTATGAAGTTACCGGCGTGGTTGAAGGATCGGCGGGTTACAGTACTCGTGGACAATGGGTCGTCGCACATATTCATTAATGCGACTCTCTCGCACAAACTCAAGTTGCCCACGACCACGATTGAGCCGTTCGAGGTTAGGGTGGCGAATGGCGAGCGCTTGCGGTGCTCGGAGATGTACCGGGGCGTGCCGATCAAGTTTCAAGGAGTGACGGTGAAGGCGGATTTGTTCGCCTTACCTTTGGTGGGATCGGATGTGGTGCTTGGGGTGCAGTGGCTCGAGGGACTAGGAGATGTGACGACTAATTACCGGAAAGGTGTGATGAAGTTCGAGGCCGGTCATCAGCTCGTTACCTTGAAGGCTAGTGAGGGAGCAACCAAGGAGGTTGGTCTAAAAAACATAGAGAAGGTGTGGCGAGGTGGTGGACAGTTGTACGCTGTCGTGGTCGAGCAGACAGGTAAGGATGCGGAGGTTCTCGAGGAGTTCGACCAGGTGGTCGAGGAGAGGCAGCGCGAGGTGCGTGACTTTCTCGAGGAGTTCGACCAGGTCCTCGACGAGCCCAAGGGACTGCTGCCACACCGANNTTGGTCGAGGAAGGTCGAGCAGTGCACGTGCATCCGTATCGATACGCACACTTCCAAAAGACGGAGATCGAGCGACAGGTGGGCGAGATGCTCGAGTCCGGGCTCATCCACCATAGCTCGAGTTCGTTCTCGTCATCGGTGTTGCTCGCAAAGAAGAAGGACGGAACTTGGCAGTTCTGCACGGACTATCGCGCTCTCAATGCGGCTACTGTGAAGGATCGCTTTCCCATTCCGAGCATCGACGACATGTTGGATGAGTTGGGTGGCGCGCGTTACTTCTCCAAACGCGACCTACGCGAGGGCTACCATCAGATCAGATTGGCCAAGGAGGACGTGCCCAAGACGGCTTTTCGCACGCACCAAGGGCCCTATGAATATCTCGTGATGCCTTTCAGGTTGTGGAATGCACCGTCGACCTTTCAGTTTGCCATGAACTCAATTTTTAAGAGGTACCTACGTAAGTTTGTATTAGTATTCTTTAATGACATTTTGGTGTACTCGAAAACATGGCAGATCATCTCGAGCACTTGCGAATTGTTTTGGGGATTTTGGAGGCTAACTCATTCTACATCAAACCATCCAAGTGCTCGTTTGCTCAAGAAGTGGTCGAGTACCTCGGGCACTTTATTTCTCATGATGGCGTTAAGGTG